GGGGGGGAAATCCAGTATCCAGTTTAAATCATGCTGTATAATTCAATATATTAGCACAGAGAATGCAGTAATAAAAATATGCACCAAAGAAACACACAACTGAAGAGAACCCAACTTAGCTGAATGCATAATACTTAAAATATGTGAAAGAGAAAATGAAAAGACAGCAGTAGTCCCATACGCTGGTCCTGATTGGCTTTTAAAGAAATCTGAGAACGTGTAGTGAGAGTATCTTCCTATATCATATTAAGTGCTAGGGAGGGTATTTTCAAGAGTAACTTTTCCTCTCATTGTAACAGCACAACAGCTCATGGTGACCTCCAGCTTGATGATATTTTGTGGATCCTTCACTCACTCTCAACACCATCACACCTATTATGCTGCAATAAATTTTGTTTGTCTGAGAACTATTTTTAAGACACCTGAATTATGAGAGAAAAAATATAGCACATATTTGACCATGCTACATTGCTGTTCTTTCTTCTCACTGGCTTTCTACAAGAGAAATGTATTTAGGAGGACAGTAGATAAGAAAACAACTACATAGGTCTTGCCTGTCAGGGAATACTTTAAGGGCACATCCATACTGTGCAAAGAGGAATCACATTAGTGATAACCCAAACCTGCCTATATAGAAAAATACCACTTTGGGTCCTACAAGCAACCATGTTTGCATCACTGTACTAAAACCAAAAAACCCCAAAGTGAGTAATGCCAGACTGTTGATTCTGCAACCACAGTAGATTGCCAGATATATTCATGGTCTGGTTCTCAGCTGTTTTGTACCACTGGACGTGGCATCCACAAGACATCCATGTTTCATTTCACATCTTTTCCAAACGAGTTCCTTGATCACTAAGGGATGCCCACAAATCTGCTGTAAAAAGATGCCTTTTCAAGTTTCAGAAGAACGTATCAGTTGCACCAATCTTACCTTTTATTTTTTTAAATCTTTCTTGTAAACAATCATGCAGGAGTGGTAACATTTTGTTCCTGTAAAGCACCACCCTTCTGAGAATGTCAACATGCTCTATAAGGAATAATCGATTAGGCCTCACACACCTGCGCTGGGTAATAAATGTTTTCTCTGTTTCAACAACAAGGAGTCAGAAGTTCAATGATTTACTCAAGGTCACACAGGAAGCCTGACAGAGCTATACGTCTCAGCTGTCTTTCTCTCTATCGTCCTACCAGATAAGCATTGAGAACTGTAGAGACATAGCGCTCAGAAAGAACTACCTATATAAAAGTCCATAAAGTAATGACATCTAGTGAGATAGCTGCCAACTATTCATTAATATATTAGCAGTAAATCTAGTAAATCTTGTTTCTTTTATGTGTTAGCTGAAGAATAAATTAGACACAAATCAACTGTTTGTTTAGTAAAAGGCCACAAAACTTAATACTGAGAAGATCCACTATTTTTTTTTTTAGTATAGCGTGTAAGGTAACACCGATGGCTAGACAGAACTTTTGAAAGGCTGGTAATGAACACTGGTGAAAATATAAGACCTTGTATGGGAACATAAAGATATATTAGCTTAGAATTTACATTTTAAATTACATGGCTCTGAAAATGGAGAACTTGGAAATCTTTCCTAAGAGTGATGATTTGGTATCATCTGCATGCAGATGAACCAAAGGATTTTGTTATTGCAAGTTTCCAAAGAACTGCTGACACATGTTAAAATAATACAGCTTTTTCTTCAGTATTTCATTAAACAATGGCCATGGTACAGACTGAGTTGTGTTGATTTTGTTTTAATAATTTTGGAGCTGCAATAAAACCAGATATAACTTAAACAGCAGATACCAGTGCCACACTTGGTTTTTGATAGAAGGAAAAGCCTGTATCTTGGCAATCTTACTTTTCACACAGTGCTGCTGCAAGCAGCATACACTTAACATTTGTAGGACCTACTCCTACTGGATGCGTTGCAGATTATAGTTACTGTTGTCTAGTGTTACCGTTTTTCAAGCCTCTCTTACCTTGACTGCATAATTGTTGAGAGGATCTTTTGCATAAGAAGCTGGGTAGTAAACTGCATCGCCTGCCTCGCAGCATGGCTTGTCACTGGTTAGCCTGAAATCCGACCAGCTGTCCACCCCAAATCGCAACTGGTCTTTTTGTCCGGCCATGAACAAGTCTTCACATTTAAGTGCCAGCTTCTTCAGGGAGTCAGCATGAAGGCTTCGTATTTTACCTACCACCTCTTCTCGATTTTCAATTCCTCGATAAAGTGCTTGTCTTTGTGGCTTCTGGACACCTTTGCCCTGCTTAGTTTGTGAGATGCGTCTCCCTGTTAGAGACTCCATGCTATTGGAACAGCGGTCCTTAATACTGATAGTGGTTAGGCTGGAAACACTGTTAGTTGCTGAGGTGGTTGCCCTTAGTTTTTCTGGAGGCCTGTCCAAGGAATCTCCTGACTCGTTGTCCAGTACCTTGAGCTCCAGGCTGACCGAAGAGCAGGCGCTGCTTGCTTCCCAGTTGGTGTCAATATCATAGGTGGGATTGGCCACAATGCACAGGTTGTTCTCCAGAGCCTGCTTCTGGAGATCTCTGGGAGTCGGCTCTGTGTTAGCTCTCAAAATTGTTTTCTTTGGCAGTGGAGGTGGTGTTGGCTGTAAGTTGTTCATTGTCTCCTGATCTACTAGTCCTCCAAAGGCAATGGCATCATCCAAAGCTCCCTTCGGTTGCCTCGGCTGTTTCGGAGGTATCATGGCTGCTCTGGACTGTCCTGTGTAATAAGAAGGTAATAGTAATAGAAGATTAAAGTACTTTGCATCTGCTGCTCATATTTGCACTCTGCAAAGAAGTTTAAGGCATAAAAAACCAAGCTGACTAGGACCCCCCCAATATTTGAAGAAAACCTAAATACATATCTGAAAAGATGAACTAATTAGAAAGCAAAATGACCAAATCAGCATCACATATATATTGTCTTTATTTGACCTTGGCCTAGACATTAAAATCAGTTTCAGTGTTAGCAATGCTGGCATTTTACATCCCATGGGATTAATGACAAAAAGTGCAAGCAAAAACCAAACGTCACTTTTGGCACTCTGGCCAAATTCCAGTTTCAGTAATTATACCCAGCCTCCCGTAATTGCTCCTGCAGTCAATTGACTACAGTATTATTCCTTACTTCCTATTCAAATGTGCGAAAACTATAGGTGGATGCTGCTAAGTGACTTTGTGAACTGTTTCTTTGAGAGGTGCATTTCTCTGGCAGGTGAGGTGATCTTTTTTTATATATCCTTCTAGTAGTCTGTAAAGCCTGGGATCACTTGGATTTGAAATGTGCTAAAGAGGCTGAAAGCATTATTTCAGAATGGAAACCAAAAACTTCAGACAGAAATAGGGTAATTCAGATACTTCGGTGGTCACATCGAAAAGTCAGGATTGCCCTAGCAGATTCACAAGGTGAAAACAAGGATGCTAAGCCTACTTTCACTCAAGTTGACAAGTGTATTGCCACTGCTTTCAATGAGAGTAGGATCATACTTTGAGATTACAAAACCAGAAATATTTTTACCCTACAATTTAAAACTCGCACACCCCCACAACCCCACCCCCTTGCTCACCATAGCTTTCTCTAATACATTTCCCTTACTCACTTGCCATGGGTACCTTTGTTGGCAATATTATGTTCACAGATAACCTGACCTAGATTCAGTCAAGAGTTTCCAAATGGCAGGTTACGTATACGAAAGCACAGGATTTCCACTGACAGACTGATTTCAAACATTTGTGTGCTTCTAGGGAAGATATAAACGTCCTTTCATGTGTTTTGGATGGCTTTCAGAGAGGACAATTATGTTTTATAACTGCCAGAGTCCTTTGAAATCAAGAATAAATAAATGACAATAATATAATGGAGAATAAAAAGCAATAAACAGACAATACAAATGACCAACTCACTGCTCTGGGAAAATTAAACAGTTGTTACTCATATAAAAATGAGATTTTTCCACTCTTAATAATCAACTGCTATTTTCAGAGAAATTATAAGATTTCTACTACTCCTGTGAGGTTCATTAACTATCATGGTAAGGTAGGAAGCCAATTTTTACAGTTGCAACACAGCAGACATGAAATGGATGCTCTGTATAATTGCAGCTGAGCATCTTTTCTAGTAAGGGAACAGCAAGTAGAAAAACACTACGACTATTTGAAATACGTGCTGAATCACAGAATTGTTTAGATTGGAAAAGACCTTTAAGATCGTTGAGTCCAACCATTAACCTAACACTGCGAAGGCCACCAACCTAACACTGCCAAGTCCACCAAATCCTTGTAAAGAGACGACTGAACTGGGACACTGAACCAAACTGAGGGGATCTCCGATTCAGGTTTGAATTACATCACTTTGGTCCATAATTAATAATAAATGACTTTGCAGCCTGTGAAAAGAAAAAAAGACAGCTTCCTTTACACTTTAAGATACATTGTTACAGTTTTTATGAGTACTATGGAATCTAAGATACTCTTGGCCAGGATGCACAAAAGCCTGGAACGCTGTGTTAGAATGCCGAAAAGGACTTCCTAATTTCAGAAGATCAGACAGGACTGTATTTTTATATGTATCCACAAACAAAATAGCCTTGGCTCTTGAATTCTTAACAACCATTCCCTTTTCAATCATTCCAAGGAGATGACATCACAAATGAAAGTTATATCTCTATCTTTTGTTTAAGCTCAAGAAACCCTCAGAAGAGCCTTATGGATTTTGTGATAAGCCTGGATATTCCAATGTTTAAAAAACTGAATTTTGAGCAGGAAATTATATCAAGCTTTGTACATGCCCGATTGTCAGGGAAGATCACACAGGACTACTCTGCTGGATAATGACTTTTTAGCTCCCCCAAAATAAAAATGTTCAAAAGCTGGAATATTGGAGAATCCCTGCATCTCTCCCAAATCATTGTCAAGGTTGCTTAAAAAAAAAATAATCTAACACTCAGGGGACCCTCTACTGCTCCTTTCTGATCTTGGTATTGCAGTGAGCAAGGTCTACAATAGCACCTCTTCCTCGCACCATTTGGTATGCTGCAGCATATAACGCTGGCGCCAGCTGAGCAGTACAGGAACTCTTCTCAGAAAGGTACGTTTTGCAGAGATGAAGAGTGGCATGATTCAGAGTCAAAAGCAGAATTGGTGTCTGCATGCCAGACACACACATCCACATGCCACAGTCTTTTGCGTAATCCTGAGACAAGTTCACTTCTACTTCATATCCAAGTTTCTTACTCATCCAAACACGTGTTGTCTTCCACAATTGCTCACTCTTACAAAATCTGTGACCTATGTACTTCTCCCCCTGGCAACATTTCTGCGTTAAAGATCACTTGCCTGTTTTCTCATTCTTACCCTCTTCTCCACTATGCTAAAATAGCCTAGCTGCTGGGGTTTTGAGAAAGGCTACTGTTGCAGGAGGCAGTTTCCTAATACGCGCTGCTTGTGTGACTTGCTAATCCAAGGGCTCCACAGACCCTAAAGGCACACAGCAAGAAAACAAATAAGAGCAAGATGCACATCTCAAGCAGTAACAGCAGAAACCCTTTCCAAGAAAGGTAAGATTTATAACAGTGTTTCTTCTTGATTCTCTTATTTTCTGTCTGCTTTAATGGCCCTGTCCTCCAAAAGCCATTCATACAGAAGAGAGTGTTGCGACCGCAACCGGTGACTTTCACTAGTTGTTGCTTTTGCATAGCTCTTGGAACCATGACATCAAAACATAATTGAAGAAGGTTTTCATAACCAGAAGTTGTTTTTGCAGATGTCTGGTGGGGGTGGCAGGATCCAGAGAACTGCATGTACAAATCATTACGTAGTTACTTTTTCAAGTATTCTCAGCTGAGGAAAATGACTTTGTAAAACATGTCATGTTACAGTACAGTTTCTCCCCACAAGACAAAGCTTCCATACTGAAATCTATCCATCTGTATTACGTGTTTGAAAAGCTTCATATCTGGACTGGTTTTATGCCGCGTTCTTAACACCATACTGGCCCATTGGGCCAGTCTTTCCAGCTCAGCTTTCTCCAAGCACGGCGTGATACTGCATGTCCCACGTTTTTAAAAATTCATTGTCTAGCAAGAAAAAGCTGTCTTAAATTTTGTCCCTGTCAAAGGCACAAGAATGTTCTTTTGCATACAAGTACTGGCAGAGCATTTGCTTCTTTTTCTTGCCTATCATTTCCTTCTCCCCTTGTATGCTTAAAACCCATCATTTCCTTACCTACTGCACGCTCTCCAACATTACAAGGTTCAGCCTGAGCTACACTCTTGGGAGGCAATTGGAAAGGAGGAACAGACACAGTACCAGGCTACCACTTACAGAGATCTTTGAAGTGGCTTCCAGACTGCTCAAAGACAGAAAAAATTTAACTCTTTATAGACAGCAGCTTTCTAGACAGCTTTAAGTAATTCTACAGTTCAATACCATCCTCCATTACAGAATCTTACTACTCTATTTAAATATTAATACTTAAGTCTCCAGACACCATGCAGAGGTCTGAAACTCTAAATCAGGCCTAAAACCCCCCACATTTAAATTTTATTATTCCAGGTAACTGATTTATCATCAGATTTTGCATTGCAACCTATTTATGTTAGCTTATGCAACTATCAGATCTGACACACTGAGCTCAGGTTTAGTTCAAATTTATATTGCATAAACATATTTTTCTTAGAATTATGACATGCACAATAATTGTTTAGATTTCTTGATAGTCCATGTATCTTTCTTTTTTGCTTAGATCAGATCAGCAGTATACATTGTCAAGAAATGTCAGAACTGTGAAGGAAAATGCTTCTCTAATTGGGAAAACAACTAATGGTGAATTAGGGAAGCCAACTGGGAGACACACTGCATGCTTCCATCCTTCCTTCAATAGAACTATTCCTGAGATGTATATTGCTCTACAATACATAACATATGTTAGTCCAGTACCCCAATGACAGCAGGCTGCTTCTTTCTCCAAACTCATTTTACTCTTGACATGGTAACCTATCCTACATTCCCCTTTATTCTTTAAAGTGTTTTTCTGATTATATGCCATTACCATCTCACATCCAAGGACAACGTCGCTTGTGGGAAGATGAGAGTTAGAAAACAGAGCTAAAAACTACTCTAGTATTCACAGTAGTAACTCAGCTATTGCCATGATTACTAACTGGTCTCAGTTTTAGTGACCATTAGAGTACTCCTTAATCCCTAATCCCCTGGTGCGGGAATTTAGATGAATGAACAGGACCCAGAGGGCTAAACTGGCCAACATGACTCTCACCTCTGCCATTCTCCAGCTTAACACATCAGTTTGACAAAAATGCCATGTTTTGCGTTGCCAAGAACTGCAAAAATTAATAATCATGCATGTACAACATGGGTAACTGATCTTCCAAGACCACATCTATCAAAACTCCAACAGAACTAAAATCAAAACTGTGGACTCTTTACAGTGGAGACGAGTGAGGAGGAGGAATTTCAAGTGGCTCTTATGTGTCTGCAGGAAATCCACGGTAAGACCAGGCTGGGCTGATCACACAGCTGGGTCTTGGAGCAGTCCAACAGCCTTGGCTTTGGCAGCCTCTGCTGACCTCTTTCTCCCCACAGCCAGGAATGGAGTCAGATGTCCCAGTAATTCTCATGTCAGCACGTCCCCATTTCATGTTACAAAGTCCAGTTATAAAGGCTGATTAAAGTATTCACTAAGTAAAATCCACAGGTTGGCCACTTTCACTGTACAAATTCCCCCTCTCTACCCTTGTCCTAGTACTTTTTCCTCCCCTTGTACTTGGTTATTAATCATCCTTTGCAATCTGCGTTTTTATTATAGTACAGAGCCTGAGAAAGACTCTGTAGCAGATCAATTATACTGATCTTTAATACCAATACAAAACACATCACTCCTTAATAAACTCTTACCCTGACTGATAAAAATAACCAAACCATGAAAAACGCACAAATGTGTAAAGTATCTTCCAACCACTGCAAAAGCAACCAGCACCAATTCCAACAAACACAGTACATGTACAACACTAGTCTCTAAAATTATTCAGTACACAAATTTACACGAACATGAAATCCTGTATTATACTCAGTTGTTTACACATTTATTGTTAACTTAATAGATCAAAATCTTACCAGAATGATAATATATGTAACAGAAAGGAAAGTTAACATTTGTTAGGTTACATTCACGATGCACTTCCAGTTTCTCGCCCATAATTTGAGACTGGGCACCGAACTATGGTAAGATGGGTTGCAGATACTAGATAAATAAAAACTTCAGAGGCAACAGCTTGCCTGCCTTGGTGACTTGTCAGGTCTTGCTACCTGCCCTCCATTACACCATGTTAAAGCTGTTACCTGTACTAATTATGTATTATACAAAATGCAGCAGACTGGTACTATAATCACTGTCTGTCACTGAACTGTCAGTTTTAGTCAACAGTGATTTCATTACCTTATTTATAGCCTGTCTAAAGCTCACTGCCCTACTGACTGAGGCAATACTCCGTGGCAGATGTGATTTAGGGTTTTTTCCAATGTCAGCACTCATAAAACCAAAAAATTTAGCCTCCTTCTTACACCTAAAGAAAAGGTGAAAAGAGAAAAATAGCTGATAATAAAATAACCTATCCTTTTTTAAATGATAGAAATACTATCCTGAGTATATTGAGAATATCTTAATCTACTTGCAGCAATGCAAATTCAATCAAGTCAATTTCCCCCCAAAATTCAGACAAAGAGAGAAAAATTTAAAGACTTGTAAAGGAAAGGATTTTAATCATCTAGTCTATTGTCTTCCTTCTCATAAGCTACAGGGTTTACCTGAATTAACTTCTGTTAGAATAAGGGTACACCTTAAAAAAGGAACATCCAGGTCCTACGTTACACATTTGAACATTTGTTTCTGCATCTAGATTCAACTGGCAGCCAGTGGATTTTAAATCTGTTGATTATTGATACCAAAGGTATCCCTCATCACAGTTTTGCTCACCACATGACTATCCACACCATGATCAAGCCAGACTCTCTTTCTTTGATAAGCTAAACACATTCAGCTTTTTGAATTAGTCCCTATAAAGCGCCTGCCACAATACTCAGCATTTGCAAAGTTTTTCTTTAGAGCCTCTACAATTTCTTTTAAAACATTCTTCTTAAACTGTGGCCAGCAGGGCTTGACTGTGGCCATGGCAGTTGGAAGGTAAAAGTGAGATATACATAACCTCTCTACTCCTATCTGAGTTCCCTCCTGTTTATACACCCAGGAACATACTGGGCTCTTTTATCCTATCATCATAGTGGGACCTCATGTTTCCTAAAAGCCCCAGGTCTTTTATGTTGTATCCGATTACCCAAGGAGAATGCTCTATCTTGCAAGGATTGCCTGCATTTTATTTTTTTTTTTTAATTCCTAGGTGTATGATTTTACATGTTCAATGAAGTAACAAATACAGCCCATATTTTATACTTAAGCTATTCTCAAATTTTGCATCTGCGATTTGTTTCCTGACAAATAATTGCTGGCACACTTGCAGTTTTTGTGGGCATGACCGTAAACTGATGATTGGACAACTCCTGTGGGAGCAGGGGAGTACCTGATATTTGAGGGCAGTACCTGATATAAACTACTACCTGACTGCAGATGAAAATTTACCAAAGCTTGCCATTATGGCTGTTTATAAAATTTCATGTGATGTGTCACAACTGAAGATGAGACATTTATCAAAGTAACAACATAATATTATCTGCTTTTCAATAAAAATCATAGAATATGTATTAGATTAGTACTTAAAAAGTGAATATTGTACATTATGCTCCAAATCGAGATGTTCACATGATATATTTTACAAACTACAAGTTGTAGCTATAAAAAGGTAACTGTAGAAACAATTGCAGTTGAAGCAAGAATCAAATGTGATATAACTTCTTGTATTATCCTTTCTTTCAGTTACACACATCAGTATTTGTTAATTCTAAAAAATATATGATTTTGCCGCTTAGGTGATGTAAGATGTGAAAACAAATAGGAATTATTCTATATCCCTACCTGGTAATCTCTTGATAGCTATCTGAACTAGAAAGTGAGGTTGCTTGAATAAACCAGAAAGAAGTTTGAATGGCAGCCAGAGAACTCAGTGCCATTTAGGGTAGCGTTGCTTTTAACAACAAGCAGCAAGCTTGCCAAGCCAGACCAAGTCAAGCCTGAAAATTAATTTAACTCTTTCATACTTAGAAGTTACTTTGGTGACAGCAAATCTGAAAGTGACCCAAGGATGAGGAGAAGATTTTGAATAAAATACTAAGGGGTTCAGTTTTATACAGTTTTACGAAGGAGCATTCACAAGGAGGAACAACACTGACAAAACCAAGGACAGATGGAAGCGATCACAGAAGCATTTAGGTTGGAAGGAACCTCTTGAGATGGTCAAGTCCAACCTTCCCTGCTCAGGCAGGGTCAGCTGGAGCAGGTTGTCCAGGACTGTGTCCAGTCGAGTTTTGTGTATCTCCACAGATGGAGACTCCACAACTTCTCTGGGCAACCTGTTCCAGTGCTTAATGGTATTTTATTGCATTTCCCGTGAGTTTACTATTCCCAGTTTGTGAGATGCTGTGGGAAGGACAGCGATCAATGGACAGAAGTACAGCTAATGCTGTACAGTGAAGCAGCTGCCTCGAGGTGTAACACCTTGCATAAGAAATTAGAGAAATCGATTCTAGCTGTAATGTAGCTATATCCTAAATACAGAAAATATATAGATACAGATATATATCTATACCTCAATGAATTGAAAATAATTCACTAGATGTTTGAAAAATTCACCCTAAAATATAAATTTTAGTTTTCCTCCCTGAAGTTTACAATTTCTTGGTAGATGTTAGTAGTATTCTTGGACAGGATGTTTTTCTTCTTTATGCTTCATAAACAATACCTAGTTAATGTTTTATTAGCAGAACACACTAATAAGTTTGCCACTAATTCACATTTAAGCAAAAAAATGCAACAATATCACTAAATGTCTAAGGAATGTATGCACCTGAGGGTTCAAAATTTAGTCCTTGATCTCTCAAACCTGTGTGGACATGCCAAACCCCCTGTCCTTGTGAGCCACCTCCATGCAGTCAGTTTACTCTTGCCTAAATGCTTCATAAGTTGGTATGCTTACAGATTGGAGCAATACTGGAAAACATGTATTCAGATATTCTTGAATGAATGAGATTTTTGTTATTTTAGAAAATCTGGCTGTAGGTATTCCTAAATTCACAGTACTTCAAATCAAAATGCTTTAGAAAATTAGGCTGATAACACTGATACTATATATCAGGACATGCTTATTTGTCTTGCTCGCTTAGCTTCTAGAGAAGCCCTGCATACATGTACCTTTTTAATATGAGTCAGGAATTCAGAGATAGTTGAATAGACTGTGCAGTATCTTCAGGACATTCATATCTTAAACTTTTCTGAAGGAGCAAAAGTAAACTCTCAGACTATGATAAGAAAGGATTTAGTCAACAAAAGATGACTACAAATATTTTAGCAGTTATTGATGCTCTAAAATAAAAAGTGCTATCTTTTGTTGAAGTTGAAATCTACTTATTGTTTCTAAGACAATTATGTAATTAGCTCTGTATTTTAAACACCTTTGATAAAAATTCCTCCAAACAGACAAAACAATGTGTCTTTTAAAAGTTTTAAAAAGTGTTTTAAAATCATAGGAAAGAAAAGCTTTGAGTTTGTTGAATCTTCACTTTCTTTGCTGTGTGTCTCAGAATGAGACAACATAATTTTATTTTCTATAAATTATTACTAAAAAGTTTGTCTTTAAATACTAACCTTATGAAAGTGTATTGAGCTGTTCAGAAGACAAGGTTCTTCACGGTCTGGAAAGGTATCCAAAATGTGATCTAATTCAAATTTTCTTCTATGAGAATACACTTACCTAAATTGCTGTATGTAGCACTGCAAGGATTTAAGTCAGGAGAATTTGAAGCTTCTTCCTTTTCTTCCTCCCCTTGTGGGACACGGACAGACGATACTGGTATGACTGAGGCACTGCCACCATTGTCCTGCTTCACAAACACCGCTCTAGGAACACGAGGGGAGAAATCCTCCAGTGTAGTGTCATCGGGCACTTGACTGAAACAAACAAACCAAAATCACCTGGAGACCAAAGCTGGGTACTAGGTCCCACTGGCAAAATACCAGATTAAGCATTAAGTATCTTCAGGAAAGGCAATGAACTGGGAAAGAAATAAGCTCCTTTCGCCCTCCTTTATTTAAGAACAACTTTCTACAATATTTATTTTCCTTAATAAGAAGAAACAACTTTTGACTCAAATAGTAACATGTAGTAGTTCATGCCTTTCATACAAAAGGGATAATAAAATGTTTTACAGCTGACTACAATCCGCATATGTACGCATATATATGCAGGCGTGATTCTGCATAAAACTTGTAGGACTCACAGGACAGCAGCAGAGTTTAAAGTGCTTTTTACCTATCAGAACAATTTTGCTTTAATCAAAGGTACCAAGGTATAGCAAGGGGGCTGCTAAGTCTTAATAAACGCATAAAACTTTAATGATACATTTTCATGTACTGGTAGGATTTTGGGAACTGACACTTTGGGAAACAGACCAGTAGCTCATCTAAGCCAGTAATCTATTTCCCATGGAAAATTCTCCAGGATTAAAATCCATCTGCATTAGTCAACTGCAAAATGCTGTGAAGACATTCCTCTGTGCTTGCTCTTAGCTATGAAGTTTTAATCACACTGTGATGACTTATAGCACAAAAGTGTGAAACTAATGGATTCAGTTCGTTGCCATGGATACATTTATTGCAGAATGATTTAAAAGTTATGCGTTATATATATTTAAAAAAAGTTCAGGTTTATTAAAAAAAAACAACAATTCCATTGAAAACATAGCAGCAATTATCAATAATATGCCACAAAAAACATGTCAGAGCAAAAATATTTCTGTGCCTTTATGTTCTCGCACTCACAGAAACAAATACTCATTATAGGCCAAATCTCAAGAGCATATGTCCTATTCACTAGCTCTCATTATTACAGCCTGATCAAACAGAATAGCAAGAATTTTAAGTACTTGTGACTTCCATAAGGATAGGAGTAATACACTTCCTTCAAAAGATGATCGCCACATCATGTGTCTGTACAGATATTTTTGTGGTAAAGATTTAAAACTTCCTGCAAGAATTAACATAAATTATAGGCATACGTGTCTCTGTGCCAAAGCCAAAATTCTGAAAATCATGATACATGATCTTCTAGCAATCCCAGACTGTATACAAAGATTAAAACATGCCAATACTTTGCATAACACAAGACCCCATGTATGGTGCAGCGCGCACGTGCTGTTTCTACTCAGACTCATGAATTTTAACTGCAGGCTGATACAAACAAAACTCATTAGAACTTGTTAGTAAAAGAGAAAAAATGGCATAAGTCCAAAAAGATGTAATCTTTAATCAGCATAAAATTTTTTGTTCATTTTTAGTACCATGCATAGGAATGGTGTGAAGAACATTCCATGTGCCATAAATATATCCACATTAAAGAGTTAACCTAATATAATTTCAGAGTAAAGCATACATAAAATTAAAGCAGTAACAAGGCTCTCAAGATGACGAGGAATTCAGCTGAAGACTGGTAGTTGCTGTAAATCATATACATACCTGCACTCCTCAATAAGAATGTTTTCTTTAAGAAGAAATAAGTTCTAATAGCTTTATGGTTCTGTCATTGCCACAAACCAGGAATTATCATATCTCAAAGTAATTTTTTAGTATCGACTGGTGAGGCACAGAACATACTCATTCTCCAAACCAGACACATGCAAGCACATACACTAAACCTAAGCTCAGAAGCATTTTGCGAAAGTAAACCAACAGCTAGAAAGGAAGAAAGAAAAAAATACCAACTCACCCACTGTACTCACTCACACAATTCCCCATTAAAGGAAATTCTTTCAGGGCCTTCTTGAGTCTTTTAATCATGTCTTGAAACTCTGGCGAGCCATTGATTCCACAGTGTTCTGATGTGCTACAAGTTGTGCAAGCTGTAAGCAACAGGGCTGAACTGTGCACAGAGTGATACACCTACTGCACCTTAATGTTTACCTTAGGGGGTTGGTCCCAGGGACTTGCCAAAGCGCCCCAGGAAACCAGTCAGTTACAGCCCTGCCTTCTTAACCCTTCCGCTGCCTTCGTGGTCACAGGCTACTACTACACTGCTTTGGTATGACAGCTATGGTCTTAGTTGTATTAATTAGTTAAGGAAAAGCAGGTTAAAATTTCAAGGGGAGCTTTAAGAACTTGGATGAACCTACTGTTAAAAGTAAGTGAATATCTCAAGTCTGTATTCCAACCGGTTTTAGTGTCTGAATCTAATACATGTTAAATCACAGCAATTAGATGTCAGGCCATGAAATCGGTGGGGGAAATGCTTCCCTGTATCTTAACCGTAAAGACAGAGAAATCAAGCATACCTACGCAGCGCAGTGACTCAACGACCAAAATGCCAACCCATTATCGGCACTGACAGAATGCAGAAGGAACAAAAGGGGAAAACATCCTCACTCAGTAAGCTACAAGAACCGAATTCCCAATTGCTTTTGCTTCCTGAAACAGGCTAAACAGTTAAAACCACTAGTTTTTGAGAAAACTGATAAACAAGAGAGAGCAGCTGATAAACAAGCAGTTCTCTGAGATTAGAACCATTAAACCCTGATTTTGTATAACTTTGTATCTGTTTGTTGACAGCAAGCGATACTTAAACCTATCTCCTTATTTGGGATATTTATAGATATTTTGCCAGGATGGATTCTTTGATGCCTTGCGTAAGAGCACATATTTAGCTTTTACCACAGTGGGCACAGCCTCCTCTGTTCAAGTCTTTTTCTTTTCCCTTTTTTATTTCAAAACCAAACTTCATAGGAAATGAATTACCTTAGAGAACTCGGGCACATGTGGCTGAAACTAAACAACTATTCAGTAAATGGAGGGAGCAGCCCTCTGCACACAGAGAACACATCTGTTTTCCTAAGAAGCCGAGATTATGCGTAGCAAAAAAACTTGCCATAAAAATGACTGTCCTTCAGATAACATCCCACTGAATTCACAAACTTGTCATTCACATGTGCACAAGCTCAAATTTGCTTTAAAAGTGGGTTTTTTTTGTTTTGTTTTGTTTTCTGCAGGGACAAATGCCTCTAAGTCCTTCCCTCAGGCTCTCCTTCCCAGTTTTTGGAGGATAGCCAAAAGATGATGTGGTCTAACTTGCCTTGGTCTTTTTAGAATAGTAAGAATACAGAGAGCAGCCTGCGTGCTGTGTTAATTTTTGTAAAGACAGTAGAATCCCAGCTATTGTGTGACCTGTCTTTTCCTCTATTCAGAGCATGCTTTCTCAATTAGTGATTAATAAACAGCAATGAATATGAGGGAGATAAAGTGGATCACTTAGAAGAAGTGGTTCTGAGAGTGCATTCCTGAATTAGGGTCAGATCTAGAGGTCAAGCTGAGGGAGTACAGTTCTGTGCAAGACGGCACATAAATCCAAGTGGCAAAATTGGTGACAGAAAGATGGAGAAAAGCTGATGTGGCCTTAGACCCAGCTGAGACACTGATCTCCTCCCTGAGTGGACATCAGCAAAACAGCAATCAATGGTAGCCGTACAGTTTGAGATGAGAGAGCCCGACAAGGAAGATGACTTAGTTTTACACACACACAAAAAAGCTGTGTAATTTGTAGATATATTTAGTTTCAAAGAGATCTCTGACATTCCCTCAGGGCCTACACTTCTAAGCTAATATAAAGCCTAAATTGACTGAAAAATGCTTGAGGAAAAATGCAGAGAGGTTAATGGCTTGAGGGCGGTCAAAGGCCACCTTACACAGGAACTTCTACTTAGAACACAGACCACGTAATTTCTGCAAAAAAATGAGCAAAGATGATCAGTGCCCAGGTTTCAATCAGAGTACATTATGGGTACAGAAAACCCATTCCAGTGGCTTATGCAGTTCGGTTCCTCATCACCAACATTTGCCAGAAATAGTCACTCAAGAGGAAAGTGAAAGAAACTTCTCAAACGACAATCTGAAATAACTAAGCCATAAAGTTTATTCCCAATTCTTATTATTTAGAAGTTGGCTTAGTCCTGAAGCATGCAATGTATAGTATTTTTTTTAAAAATCTTGTATAATGCAATGTTTACATGGATAAAGGGAATACATTTGATAATCCAGTAAAGACATCCTGCTAAGCTCTTTAGTGTCAGTGAAACTGAATGGCAATGAGTTCCACAGATTAACTATGCATTATAAAAAAGATATTTTTCTTTATCCACTTTAAGTTCTCAGTCTTTCCATTTTACAGACTGTATTACAGGAGTTAAGAACAATAATACTTGATTTACCATTTCTTAATCTAAATTTATAAAATAATAAATGGTAAAATCCCTTCTACTTGGTTCTTTTAACAGTCCTTGGTGTTTACAAATTTTCACATAAAATGTTACCAAACTTCTTGCTTAATGAACGTGCATAATTTCCAATTCTGCTAGCATAGAGATGTTCTAGAGAAAAATCTCACAAAAGTTTTTAATTGATGAAATGGGGTAAGATAGATGGTTAACACTTTTAAAAGCACTGTTGCGCACTGCTGAGTAAGGTAAATAAGCCTTGCTGATATCTAGAAAAAGCAAATCAAGATAGATTTGAAGAGAAGGGGGAGCTGATAGTTCCACCTGGACTTTTCAGGCAAGAATTTCTCCCATATTGGTTGACTTGCTCAAGCAAGAATTTTCTTTTCAGCTATAACATCCTTGAATTCTCTTCACCAAGTTATGCAAGCTACACTTAAAAAAGGTTTTGGATTCAGGTGACAACCTTACCTTAAGACTTACACAAGAGATCCTCTAAACTGGGAAGGACTTTGTTTTAAACAGAGCCCTTCTGTGATTTAAAAGATTTTGTTCTCTTCTCAAGTAGTTTCTGAAGCAGCTGTGGAATCTGCAGGATTGGATCAATGACAATGAGAAAGTGGAATGTGGCAGTGGTGGTTATTCCTGCCTGTCTCTGGATGCGATCCTGGTCTTAATATATGACTACATTTTTGAAGAACAATGATTCCAGTTGTTTTTACTGAGTAATCTGTTACAACATTCATATTCCTCTAGATATCCAGAGCACTCAGAGTAATTTCATGGCTCCTGTCCCACTGAATCAAGACAGCCTACATTAAGCTCCATTCCAAAGTTGGGGTTCTCAAGGTCCAGGCCACAGATGATGTGCACAGTGGCATATCCCTAGCCCCAGTCACCTGTATTTTTTTTTCCTAAATATCAGTTAGTGGCCTAACAGAAATTACTAAAAAAACCACTGAAGAGATAACTCATTTGAGGTCTTTTCGTTCAAATTAATGATAAAGCTGATGTGACTGCTGATTTTTAGCAAAAATTAACATATCCATGTATTTTTGGCAAATTTTATATGTAAGTATTTGCCAGCTCCTTTTGAACCACCGTATGTGCATCCTGGCATCAACCAGAAAGAAACAATCACAGGGATAAAACAAACCCAAGTTCTTTTGTATTACAGAGGGATAGTTTCAGCTTTCCAAAGAAGTGAGTATTTTGCAATTGCTGTTCAAAGGGAAAAACTGACCTTTCTCATGATAACTTTAAATACCTTCAGCCCTGTTTTGTGGTTATGTTATCAGTCTTCAGCAGCTTTGTAATCCATTGCAAAGTAAGGAAATATTGTATCTTCATTTAATTTGCTTTCAAGACCTCCCAGTAATCAGACATTTTTAAAGCTTATCTTATTTTCTAAGTAATCAGTTTGTTTTTTCAGTGAGCTTACTGTTGTTGGCATTCTGAGTTTCATTGATTGCTATCTTCATGTCTTCTGTTTTCCTCTAAGCTTCTGCAAGCTTAACTGAAGATTTTAAACATCTTTTCCATGCACATATTTTAGCCTGAATTAACACTAACCTCTTACTAATACCTGAAGGGTTAACAGAAAACAAGCATAGCATCTCATCTGTTACATCTCCTGCTTCTGCAAAAATGGAAGTTGAGAATCCTGATTCTCACCTACTGGGTTATTAAAAACAAAAGCCAAAACGCTTAAACAAAAAAAAAATTAACTTCATTTTTTGGCACTATAAGGTTTCACTTGGGCTCTTTAACAATATTAAAAAAAATAAGCAAAAAGTCCAAATAACTTAAGGCATCAAATTGCATCAAGGTAACTGAATATAATAACTGAAGGACAAAGATATCCAATGTTCCCACAACGTATTTCTCAGCACCCCAGTGTATTTTCTTTGAAATTTGTAGAAAACATACAATAATATTGTTAGAAAGAAGAAAATCCAGTTCTAACATTTGGAAAACTCCAGTTTTCACCAGCAAAAATTGTGAGATAAGGTTTTAGCCGGTATCATCATGATGTGCAGAAAAATAAAAAGTAAACATACTTTTTGGAATAAGTGAATGAGACGGACGGAATGACCAATTGCTTTCAATAGTAAGGGCAGAAGGTATTCCAATAATAGTGCAAAACTATAAAACACTGTAACAGCACCATCTCTAGGGTAGGCTAAGAACAAGTGCCAACCATGACTGCAGCCATTAGCCTGTTATTGCCCTTTTACCACCGAGATAAGCAGCTGCTCCTTCCTGACTGGCTCCCCTGTCAGATCAGCAAATTGATCTGGCTGAAAAATAATTGCAAAGTTCTTTTTCACTTGGATCACTTCCCCAGTCTGGTTCCCCACAGCTGACCACATGAACTGTCTTGCTAGCACAAGAGCGGGGCACTAAGGAGGCGGGAGCAAGCGACTCTCCTGATGGCAATGTATTCAGTAATGCTGGTAAAAAATAAAAAAGCTGGTACAACCTCATTTTCTCTAGGTTCCCCTGGAGATAACAGGAAAAAAAAAAAAAAAGGTTCCTCTAAAGGGGGGTTGAGACCACAAACTTCTCCAATTCTTTAACTTGCTCTCTAAAGCTGCCTACTTCTCCCAATTTAATGTAGGGTAAGTCTAGAGAGACTAGACTCCTATCAAGGTTTATTCTAGCCCCGGGTACATTCCCCACTGCCTTCAGCCTTAAACTGCAATATGCACTGTAAATACAGGGACACCCCTTTTGTCATTGCCCACACCCCTGTATTACTGCGGTACTGTACATCTTGCAGAGATGCTGAATGCTTACAGCTCCTACTGACTTTAATAGTTTGCGAAAGTGCTTAATGTTTCTGAAACTCACACCCACAATTTGTACTGGGATTTTTTTTTTAAATCCTATTTGTTAATTTTCATGTACTTTTTTTTTTTTTTAAAAATAAAATTCTTGACCCTGAGATTGCAGCTCATCCAAGTCTGCAGAAACAGACAGTACACTAAGGTTTTGGAGACCATCCTATCTTGTATTTGGGGCAATTACTTCAAATGTAAATCTACAGAAACCAGCTTTACATTGTACTATGATAAGCCCTATCACCACCTTATGTTACAAAACCCAAAGCTGTCCATGTCTGACAAAAAGCAAACAGTCTGAAAAGTAGCCCTGGTCTTCATGAGAATGCCATATCAGTGTTCCCAAGATGGGATAGAAAAATGATTTCATTACACTTGGTATAAATGGTCACTCTTGGTTAGTTTAAGACATAGTTATTTTACTTTAAGACAAGCAGCAATCAGTTTATGGTAAACTCAAACTATGCTCACACAGAGATTTCTTTTAGTTTAAGTCAACTTTAAAAACATTTTAACTAAAAATCACTGGAACTTTCTTGTATAGACAACAGGGAAAGAAAACCAAAGAACACTGCCATGATACATTTTCTGAGGCTCACACATAGCTCAAACTTTATAAAATTTTTAATTTCCTACCGCTAGGTTATTGTTATAATGAATTAAATAATGCAAGTTTGAAGCTATTTTGAAATTGGTTTGTATGAGAACATTGGAAGACATATTCTAACATTCTAACACATCCACAGATGTGGTCTGTACTCAGTGAAATGCATACTATGCCCACATCACTAACTGCAATGGATGTCTCCAGCCCTCTTCCGTTATGCACTGTCATGAGCTGTAGGAACTCAGTGGTATGTTGAAAACAAAGTGTATCTAGAAATAAACATGGTTCTTCGTATTCAGAGACAATCAAGAAAGCACATGTACCCTTGATAAGGGAACAGACAGACCTTTAAACCAACAGACAGACCTAAAACCTTCAACTACCATGAACTTCTAGGAGTAAAATAAATATCTACTGGCCAAATACTTTCACAGAAATTGAAACAACAAATCATTTTAGTAAATTCTGATTTTAAAAAAATTAAAAAATAAATCACTGAACAAAATTGTGAGGCAGAAGAAACAGAGCAACCAGCTCTACTAAATCTAATACTGTTAGGGGATAAAGTATATTCATCACTAAAGGCCTTGCAAAATGGAGATAGATTATTTTATAGATAATCTAATTCTATTATTACTTTTTTATATGGTTTATTTTGGGAGTCCTGCAGTGGTGTTGCAGTGTAGCACCAAGTTAATTAGCATCTCTTATATTCTTGGGTATATGAGATAGCACGCCACCTTTTATGAGTCACAGATCTTTTAATTTCTATTATACTTTTCAATAGTTGCCTTCTATTTCTGCAGAGAAATTCTTTAGTTTCCTCTAACATAAGAACACTTTCTGAAACTAGAAATTCAGGAAAATGTATCTGATTCAACGTAACATGGCTATTGTGACATATTAGTGAACCTGCAATACAAATTCCAAAAATCAGGTACTCTTTCTAGTAATTTATCTTTTCTGATATCCAATATAATGCAAAAAATTTAAAAATATGCTTTAAGTTACCTAAAAGAAATGTATTTTGATAAAATTACACTTAATATAATAAAACTCCTGAATTTCTCCCCTTTTCAGCAGTATATACAGGACAGTTCACTACTGAGTAAGCAACTAAAAAGATGGTCAGAGTACCTGGGGATTTTCTTGGGAATCTGAGGTGGCGACGAATGGCTCGCTATTTTCTGTTCGGAGCTCTCTGGAGACTTTTCCTGCATTTCTCCTTTGTCTTTCGCTAGTGCATCTGCGATAACAGACTCCGCTCCACTTTTGTTTTGATCATCAGCCTTTGGTTCAGCTTGTGCTGGTTCACATCTATACATGAAAACAATCGATGGCTTCTCACTGGAGTCTGACTTTGCCTCACTGAACCAGTGATGACGCTGAACTGGAGGAGGGGGGAGCATATGTATAACAGTTCCATCAAGACCCACCAATTTTCCTTTCTCTCTTTCTTTCTCTTTGTCTTCCTCATCATCAGTTTTCCTGCGGCGGAAGAAGCTCTTGAACGATATCCAGCGTTTGGGTTTCGCATCAGCAGCTCGTCGACCCTCTGAATGAAGGATTGACTCGGCCTCTGTTGCCCTGGTGGGACTGTTTGGTTTGGTCCAATTGCTGAAATGTCTTTGCAACAAGTTACTTGCATGATAGGGTGAAGAAGTGGACCGTGGAGGAGGAAATGGCGGTGCTTGCTCTGTTTTGGGACTTGTGGCATTTGGGGTGGCTCTGACTGGCTTTGGAGACTGAGTGGCAACTGGCTGTGAAAGTGAATCTTTCTGCATTTTAATGGCAGTGTTTTCCACTGTCTTGGAGGAGTCTATTTCAGACTGTGATGTAAACAGAGATTTGGGTCGTACCAGGGTGTTCTTAGTAGCATCTGCATCAGGAGGTAAGGAATACAGTTCTTCCACGCTACAAGACTTGGGTCCAGACTGAGGTGTTTCTGGAGGAGACTGTGGAGGCTGGATAGAAGCCACAATCTGTGAAAGCACCGTGCTTGCATTCTCTCTACTGCTGCTGCTGCTGCCGCCAACAGAAGCCTCTGGTGTTACGTCTATTTTTGCTGCAGGCTCTTGTATTGTCTTTTGAATTCTTGATGGGGAGCTGTGGTCAGAACTATGGCTTCTCTGTGGTGATATCTGACTTTTACTGAGGCTGCTGTTAAACTCTTGGACCTTTTGAGCCACAGAACCCAGCCTGCATTCAGAGCTATTAGTCACCCCCTTCACTTGGGAAAATTCAGTGGGTTTGCTTCCTATGGCTTCAGACATTTTGCTTTCTGTTTCTATTTCTTCATATGTGTGGCTTATTATACTAGTAGTTTTATCTTTGATGGATAGCTCTCCGCTGGTCCCTAGAAAACTTTTATAGATAGCCAGGTTATCATATGCATTTGGATTGATTACAATAGGAACTTTAACAGCATTTTTGGAACTCTTGGCATAAGTGGGCTCATCGTGAATGATAATAGGAAAAGGTGGCATGCCAGCATTATTGTAGCTGTTGAATTTTATCTCAGATAAATTCGGAGACTTAACCGGGATAGTTTTTGAAGAAATGTTTGTAGCTGTAGGTGAAGTAGGAGCTGACTTGTGGCTTGTTTTCCTGGGAGGAACAGAAGGTCCTGAGCTGTTAGCAAGTAACTCCACTTTAGGTATCTTCTGTCTTGGACTAGTACTAGAAGTCCACACTTCCTGATATCTGATTGCACTGGATTTTTTCAGATTAGCATTTACGCGTACAGGCGATGCTGCAGAGGATGTAATAGGTGTGCCTGGAGTTACTGGCGAGCTTGGGTTAGACGATGTATTTTTGGTTTCTGAGGTTTCAGTCTGATTCTCCTTACATTCATTGGTCATGGCAGCTGATACGTCTACTATGGTATATGGCTTGCAAACTGGTTGTTCCATATTCACCACCCTGTAAGGTTTAGCTTGCTCTTCCACAGGCACCAAATTTATAGTTACAGCTTGACCAGCAACATCCGAAGAACTTTTATTCTCTTGCTTATCAGTCTGCACAGCAATTTTGCCATCCTTCTCTTCCAGTCGAAGCGCAAGGACTGCCTTGTGAGTTTCCAGACTTTTCAGAACATTTCTGGGAGCTTTTGACACATCCTTCACTTGTTGATTATCACAAAGACTTTCATATTCTGGTTCAATCAATTTGAGGTCCTGAGGAGTACTAGGAGATAACCCTCCATTGCAGAGCTTCTGTGAAGAACTGCTGGTTGTTCCAGAACGAGACTCTTCTGTCAAAGAAGAATCAGGAGATGTAGAATCAGAAGACACCATGCTCTGCATGCTCTCTTGCCCATAAAGAATCACAGTTTCTTCCCCATAACCATTTAAAATTTCATCGTAACTGTCGTCATAATCTACTGCACAGATCCGCTGGAGAGACTTGTTTCTAAGGGGCACAGTATTCCATTTTTTGTCAATGCAGAACTGAACAGGCGATAGGGTGTTCGCTCTAAAATTAGCAAAGCGAGGTTGGCCCCTCATGCGAATTTCCATTGCTAGCAACTCTTCGTCACTTTCATCCCAGCTCTCGTGCTCTTCTTGCATGCTGCCAAAAAACGTGTCATCCTCACTCTCATCTCCGCTAGAGAACTCCGGATAACAGAACCGTCCACCTTCATTACTTATTACTTCGGTGCTTCCACTCAGAATAACGTGCTTACTGTGTGAATCCTTCATTCCACCCATCATGCAGCTTGGAGGGATCTTTCTTTCTAACGATCTTTTGTAACAATTATTTATTCTTCCCAAGAAGGTTTCTCTGGAGTTCATTTCATTTCCAGTTAGCTGAGGTGTGCTATCCAAACCTGCAATCTCCTTCAAAACTTCTGTCAGTCCATTATTATTGTTATTTGGTATCTTACCTACACCATCATTGTTGCCATAAGGCTTATGAACGTGGCTGTAACCCTCAATTTCATCTTCATTATTATTGTTCAGTGGTTTTTTGTTCAAAACAGCTTTGTTTCGGTTCCAACCTGCAGGCACTGGTTTATTCTCACAATGATCTGGTGTGCTGATTTCGCCACATACACCCTGCCCATCTACTACCATCATGGTGGGTTTCACAGCTATAGTTGGTTTCTTTGCCACAGGTGGTCGGAAATTTCCTGTATTTCTCCCACGATGGCTGTTACTTTGGTTTGCATTGGATTTCAGATTTCCATGTGAGAGGGGTTTTTTTTCAGATACTGGGGGTAACTGATGCAAGCTTTTGGGCTTGAAGCAGTTCTTACATTCACCAGGTTTCCAGACGTGTTCAGTGAAAGTGTTGCAAGCAGACATTTTCCCAGAGCTTTACGCTTGATGCTGTGCTGTTCAGTGCATGGTAACAATTTCATCCATGTGTTTCCGCTCTGTTCACTTACTATGGCTACTGTTTGGAGCAGTGATCATTCTGAAACACAAAGGAGAATGAGGATAAGAATGGGGAAAAACCATGTTGCTCATTTATACTTAGTTTTCTACACTATGAACAACTTGGAATAAACAAGTAGTCTTTTGCTGACGTCTTAGGTCTTTTTACCTAAATTTACAAAACCATGTAACTGAAATGCAAAAAAAGTTGCAAATATCTTCTCATACATAAAGAACTAAAACTTTGGCAGCTAAGCCCTGTATTACTGAAAGCTGAGAAAGAAAGAGAGAAATGGTAATGACTGAGAATTTAGAATAATTCTCTTGACTAGTTCAGGACCATTGACCTTGAAGTTTGCCCAATAAAACAAGTGCTAGGAAGAGGACATAAAACCAAAGATCAGTGCACATTGCTTTCAACATAACTACTTAAACTTGAGACAGGAAAGTAAGAGTATCTTTACTCTTCTAAATGCAATTGAGATAATGTGTTTTAGCTTTGAATGTGAATGAGCTCATCTAAGTGACAAAATATGTTCAAGCAATTCCAAACTCTGCCATTTTAGCACTTTTTAAATCAGAATCAAATTATAACTGGACAGGTATTTTGGTTGAAGAGACAGGCTGGACTGCTATCCTGGAAAAGTCAGATGATAATGCTGGGGAAACCTTTCTGGAAAGTCACTGTTTCTTCTCCTTTAGCTTACAATAGTGGCAATAAGCCATTCTTATATCCTCAAAACAAAGCTATGGATTTTTAGTCCCTGATTTGTTTCACATGTAGATTTTCTACCTAACCCCTCCAGAAATAACAATCGAAAAAGAATTGAAAATCTCTTTCAAAGTGAACCTTTATTTCCTGAAATGATCAGCCTTAAGTAAAAAATAAACACGAATCTGCTGTGCTTTATAGTCACTGGAGTATCCAGGATTTGAGAGTTTCATGAATTAATGCCTGAAGATTTTAAGCCTTCTAAGCCAAATCCACAAGTCTGGTCTCTTCATCACTCTTGCATAGCTCAAATTATTGGAGACATTTTACTGAGGTGGAAGAATCTGTATGTCCACCGCTGCTTCTGTAAACACAGGCATTGAAAAATCAATGATTTTCTATTCTTTCAGGCTTCAGGTGAAAATATACTTGCTGATCACATAGGTACACTGAAAGCGTTATTAATACATCCATTCAGGTAAAGACACAGCTCTCTACAGAGCCCATGGTTAGAGGCTCAGCAGCAGGACAGCTATGCTGGAATTCACCACGGGCACAACTGGTTTTCATCAGTGTAGCAAACAATAGAAGTCATTAGTAAAACTGACACTTGTATGAATTTGTCAGTCTCCTCACGTACTGCTCTGTTTTGGCAAAGGGCTGTCCTATGCTGGAAAACTCTGCTATAGCAATGCTGTTCCAACACCAGATGGGGCTGAAGTCTAACTCTATTAGAGTATCTTCAGACACATTCGTGGTACCAAGGTTATCATATTTCATGTGCTGACTACATATGTTTCCAGACAAAGCTTTCTGCCAAAATGTCAGTGCCAAAAGCTTTCTCTGTATGACCTAAGAGGTAGAAGGTCTGCCAGATAGTGATCTGCCCAAACTTTCAGCCTTTGTTTTATACACACAAGTATTTTTTATCTCTGCCAAGATTCGTTGCTTCAACGCTTTGCAAGCCCATATATTGTAAGCAGAAAAATTACATTAAGAAATAATTCTCCTAACATCAAAGAGAGAGCGAGGGAGCACATACTAGAATTTTACACTCTGGTTACCTCTTTCTTTTCATGTATTTAACAAATAAAAGGAGTAAAGTTACACTAATGAGAATCTAAACTAAATGATTTCTTGGAAAATATATTTCTCCATTACATAAAACCTCTGAACAGACAATTTAAACAAAAGGGTTAGTGCATGCGTGTGTGGTTTTTAAGATTTAACTGGGTGATATTATTTCTCCAAAATTGCATAAACTGCACTTGCTCTAGAATCCTATCACAGACCAGACAGCTTTATGGCACTCCAGGCTAAGCATTTTCTGCTAATAACGTTGGGGTAGAAGTGAGAAAGCACTCTATTGCACACCTTCGTATGACTACATTTTTATCTTTTCCCGCTGGCTGTAGTCGTTCTCGTTTGCTCAAATACACTGATACTGATCAGTTTTCCTCTAACCCAAATGAGTGCTATGTTCAACATATGAATGTGAACCACACGAAACTTAGCAGAACCACAACACAATGCTCCAGTCAGTATAAAAACTATGGCACGGTCATAGCTCTCTGCAAACATGTATCCCACATCCAGGAGTACCACCTGCAGCAATTTAGCTTATAAGTAAAATACATGGTGACGTGTCTGTGTAAATGCAGACATGTAACTTGTACACAGAAAATACATAAGACACGTATAGATATTTTAGATCTTTTGCTCTTCAACACCTAATGGAAATGGTTTAAACACAACCATGCTCTCTAACATGATTTTTGAGTCTGTGAAACAGACAAGAGCTGCTGACTTCTCAGGTTTGTGAACTACAGCTGGGCTTCCAATTGGCTTCGGCGCACGCAGGATGAGAAGTTCCTGTAGCATGCTATGACACTGCCTGCAGCTGTAACAGAGAGGAAATACGCACCTTCAAACAAGAGGAAATGTATCTTAAGTAAAGAACCAAAAGAATTCCAACATTGTGCTACTTTCATACTTTGAAATCAGCAGCACTCCTGTGCTACTACAAATTAAATTCATACTGATCTTTTTATGTCTAAACAAGTATTTGCATTCTAAAAAAAAGTCAGGCGGTTCCTTCATCGCTGTACAACTAAAAGCAATTTTTCTGATGTTTTCCTCTCCCTTTAAAGAAAACACATTTACTGTTTCAACTACAGATTCCCTATTATGAGTGATAATTATAGTGAGAGTGATTACAGAAATGAAATCTCCTTTCAGTATTAAAAAAAAGATACAACGTTCTTCACGAGTTCAGGCTGTTGCTCCCATTGCTGTTAACAGCAGCTGCAACTTGGTAGGGGGCAGCAGAGTCCATTGAAGGTAATGGAAATGCACCCAAATACAACAAGAAAAAAATACCCTGACACTGTTCACCTCTAGATTCTTACCCTACTCTCCAAAACAAAGAAGGTCAACAAGAGATCCAGGCAGTCACACATCAGATCGGCTTCAGCTGCCAGTGATTAGGTATGTTTTCTTCTGTAACTTCCCTGCTTCCATGACAGCCCGTGTAACTGCTAAGGAACAGGAATGTGTACTCTGCACAACTCCTGGCTCTTCTGAAATGAGTCGTTCAGATGACAGAACTTGAAGATACTCCATCTCCACAAAATCAAGGCAATAACAACCTCAGATGTTAAATACAAAACAGCATTAGGTTTCTGAAGAAAGCACTAACAGTAAACACGTAATATCAACATTGCACATTTCATCCCTGTATCAAAGCCTTTTATGTAAGTTGATAAACATAACTATTCACAATTTATACACGGGAGCACTGCAGTGGAGTGATGCTAAGTAACTAAAATTCACTAACTGAGTCAGTGACAGGAACGAGTACAGAGAGACAAGTTCTGCTCCTAATGTGGTGCTGCAGAAAGCAGATCGTGATACTTCATTCGCTACATAGTTGAGTCAGCACAGATAGTTTATCAGCTTTAAAGGCCAAATCACTCTTTGTGTACATGAGAATAATGCTCCTCATTTCAGCAGATAGACAACTGCACACAGGAGGGCTCACTCGGGCCCTGTTAAGTTGATATCAAACAAACAGAAACGCACAAGCGTATTTCACTTTCTAGGTCAGAGGTAGAAGATGACAGATTCAGAGTTGCAGCGCAAAGATGAAGAAATAATCAGCTGAGAGATCCTCATGTCAGGAAACTGAACCTTGCATGGAAATGCAGAAGTATTTTTGTGGCTCTTATTTGTTGACATCATCTTTGTTAACTGCACAAAGATAGTAATAAACATGCGTTTCAGGCATTTTCCCTTTGTTCTAAGTAATTTCAGGCTGGCGGGTCTCCTTTAGATGCATGCTGGCTGAATCACAATGAAGGCCTTCTCCAGTAATACTTTATACTAACATAATCCAATTAAAAGGAACTTAATTGGTGTGCAACATTCCCTACAATTTCAACATTTTAAAAATGAATAGTCTCAGTAAGTACCAGATGGTGACATGCACTAATTAATCAGGCCTGCTCAATGAATGAGCATATTAAAATGAATGCACCTATTAGACATGTGTTTTCAATGCTGCATGCTGCAAAAAACTCCCCTTAAATGAATGCCTGCTATATTACTGAGCAATATGCACAAGTGTGCATTTCATCATTTGTAATTGTAACACTATCAGTCTTTGATCTCTTCTTAGATCACTAGGTACTTGGTACAGACTTCCTTTTGTTTGTCCTCCTCCAGGGAAAAGGCATTTAGCCTTAGCATTGCTGTCCATGAAAATGGGTCCGCAATTTTTATGCTGCAAAATGCGTTGATCAGCTTTCTTATCAAACAACAGTCCAATAAATTGCTACTGAGCAGCCCACAGATCTCTCACCATTGACAGGCACGTCCTCAGACTGAAAAAATCAGCAATGGGAATCCAACCTAGGTTTCCTAGATAGGAGTGCCCAAACACCACAAAACCACTATGACTTTGTGGTTTCGTCTGAACCACTTACAGAGATCTGGACAGTAACTGATCATCATAAGCAATAATGCAAGTCTAACATAACAAGAATAAAGTGATGGTTATTCTTCGCCAGTATCTGATTTCTGTTTCTTTTAAACTCTAATATAATTGTAAACATTGTAGAAGACTTCTTGGAAAAACTGAAATGCTCCAACTTCACACACACAGTCCTGCCTGGGTGGCAACGGGCTGTAGAAATGCTCCATCTCCCAGAGAATGTTG